CGAAAAATAAATTATAATTTGGTTGATATATAGAATGTATAATTGATATTTCAATTACTATTGATAAAAATAAAAAATGCTAACTAATAAAAATGTAATCTTCTATAAAAAAGAAGCTTCCATTAAAAAAAAAAATTGAATAATGAGACTATTTATACTATTTATAAAATTCTTCCTTTAGCTTTACTTCTTTTAGAATCATCATCACTATCTTCTTTTCATTTTCTACAAACTCCAGCAATCGCATCTGGAATACCAGATAGTAAATCTGTTCCTGATACTACATTATTTTTAATCTATTCTGCAAATATCATTGCTAAATATTCTTCTGTTTTACTTTTATACTGAAAATAATTATCATCTTCTGAATTAGTTGAAATAAAATTGATCCATCTGTCATATAAATTTTTTGTATCATTAATTGTTGTAGTCGCAAGAAAAGAACCGTATATTTGTTGAAACATCCATCTAGCATAATTTAATCTTTTTACTATTATATCTTCTTCTTTTTTATATGGTTTAATCTCATTGATCATTAATATATTTTAAGTATATTGATAAGTTATTTGTGAATTCGCAGGAACTCTTTCTAACATTTTTTTATAATATAATGACATACGATATAATTGTGTCATCTGTTGATAATTATTTGGTAATATACTCCAATCAAAATATTGTATCACTTGATCCCAATTATTTCCATCTTCAAGGTTATTAATATTCATTTCATCTTCCATACTCTTTAATATTCTTATCTACTCATTGTATTTTTCACGTTGTCTTTTTCTTGCTGAATCAAAATTTATAGGTTGAATCATTCCAATAGTAACACCTACCATCTCTTCAACAATATTTAATTCTGGAAATTCAACTTCTATTTCTTCAACATCTGGTTCTTCTTTAATAATAGGTGTTTTTGGAGTATCTTCAAATTCCTCATCAACAGGTATTTTTGGAATTTTATTTTTTGATAAATCAGAAAAATTATCTGCTATAGAAGATATTACACCAAACAACATCATTTGATATAACTCCAAATCTGAAAATTTATTTTCTTTTATTTCATCAGGTACTCTGTAACAACAATCTTCATAAAGATTCTGATTATATTTACATTTACATATTTTTTTTGAATTAACATTTAAAGTTAAAAACAATAAAAAAATATAAAAAATGAATTTTATTTTTTCTTTTTTTTTTAATAAGTATTAAACCACCATAATATTTCTTTTTATATCTATTGAGATTATATAATCACATATTTAACAACTATAAATATTTTATTTTTTTTTGTTCTTTTAAAACAATCGTTATCTTTAATATGAGGTAATTTTTCTTTACTTTTTTTTTATCTGATATTTTTTTTCTAAAAATTATAATAATTTACAGTAATAATTAGGGACCACCACCTAAAAAAATAATTCACAATTACTATTTCGATCCATTTAAAAATATTGAAACTTACTATGATGCTTGTTATTCAACCGAACATTTTTATAAAGATTGTAAATTTAAAGCAAAATATTGTCTTGCCTGTTACTCAACCGAACAATTTTTTAAAGATTGTTTATATAACAAATGTTTTTGGTGTGATAAAAGACATATTGGATCATGTAAAAAAATGAAATATTGTTTTATTTGTAAAAAAAATAATCATGAAT